TTGTAATATTGGCTGAAACACTGAAGAAGGTTTTACAAATTCTTATTCACGAGGATCAGCCTGGATTTTTGCTGAAAAGGACAATATGAGAACTATCTTGGATGTTAGTAAATATTCACAATATCTTACTTAATGAGAAGCAAATGACATTAATATTTTTGGACATGGAGTAAACTTTTGAACAATTTAAATTGGATCTTTATGTTTAAAGTTTTGCAAGATGTAGACTGCGGTGATAACTTTATTCAAGGGATAAAGTTGATACAAATCAGTAGGCTTATATTATTTTTAATGGAGATTTGACAAAGTCATGTGAGATTCAAAATGCTCCAAGAAAAGAATGTCCTTTATCTCTGTTACTTTTTACTGTAGTTTTGAAAGTTTTTACTAGTGATATTAGACAAGATAAGAAAACATTGAGTTTGAAGATTAAAAAAGAAACATACAGATTGAGAACTTTCGCTGATAACCTAATTTTGATTTTACAAGACCCAAAAATGAATTGGAATATTTAGTGAAGAAACTAAATGATTTTGATGCACTGGCTGGTTTTAAGATAAACAAAAACAAAAATTAAGAACATAAATAAGAAAGTCAGGTTTTAAAGTGGATAAAAAGATCAAATATTTTGGAGGTATATTAATTAATACAAATTCTAAGTTATTTCAAGACAATTATGTGATTGTTTGAAATGACATTAAAAAAGACCTATTAAGGTACAGCTATCTTTGTTGGAAAAAAATTATATAATTAAGATGTATGTTTTTATTCCAGATGTTATCCATATTGATCACAAATGTTCCATTTAAGCAATAGCAAAAAGATATTTCTAAGTTTATATAGTAAAAACCCTCAAGAATTAAATATAAATTGTTTTAGGCTGCTACAGAAAGTAGAAGATTGATCTACCAAATATAAACATATATTTTTACATTTGCTTTTGGTTTGGATGAAGAAAGGGTGACCTTGAAGAATAAGAGGGTATTAGATTGGAGAACCATGATTTGAGATTTGTTTGGTATGATAAAGCCAAAGTGAATACAGATTTTAAGAATAATTTTGTTAAGTTTGTTTATTTGTGTCAGAAGCATCACAATTAAAATAAGGCATACTATACAAGAGTGGTGGCGAACCTATGGCACGCATGCCAGAGGTGGCACTTGGAACCCTCACTGTGGGCACATATGCCATCGCCCCAGCCCCACCTCCCTCATAGCCCCCTCCTCACCAGCATCCCCCTGGAGGAGAGTCGCCCCCTGGCATGGCCCGCACGGAGCAGCGCAGCCAAGGACATAGCCAAGCAGTAGGGACAAGACTCTGCCCTCGTGTCCCATAGCATGAAGATGATGCTGCAGGGTGTGGATGGAGGGCGTGGCTGCTATGGCACTGCAGGGCTGCCTGGGCGATCTGCTGCAGCAGGCCATGGAGGCAGTGTGTGGCCCTGCAGGTGGTCAGGGCAGGGGGCAGGCAGGGGTGGAGCAGGCAGGGTGGGATACGGAGTGGGGGTGGGGGCGGTTTTGGGGCACTGGGCCGCTAAAAGATTTGCCATCAATGGTATAGGTAGTACCTTGCTCAATAGTAGTAACTGTGAGAGGGATCTTGAAGTCCTAGTGGACAATCTCTTAAATATGAGCTAGCCGTGTGCTGTAGCTACCAAAAAAGCCAACACAGTGCTGGGCTGCATTAACAGAGGGATAGAATCAAGATCATGTGAAGTGTTAATTCCACACTTGGAATACTGCATCCAGTTTTGGTCACCATGATTTAAAAAAGATGTTGAGACTCTAGAAAGAGTGCAAAGAAGAGCAACAAAGATGATTAGGGGACTGGAGGCTAAAACATATAAAGAACGGTTGCTGGAATTGGATATGTCTAGTTTAATGAAGAGAAGGACGAGGGGGGACATGATAGCAGTGTTCCAATATCTCAGGGGCTGCCCCAAAGAAGAGGGAGTCAAGCTATTCTCCAAAGCACCTGAAGGCAGGACAAGAAGCAATGGATGGAAACGAACTAAAGAGAGAAGCAACCTAGAACTAAGGAGAAATTTCCTGACAGTTAGAATAAATAACCAGTGGAACAACCTGCCTCCAGAAGTGGTGAATGCTCCAACACTGGAAGTTTTTAAGTAGAGACTGGACAGCCATTTGTCTGAAATGGTATAGGGCAATGGTGGCGAATCTATGGCATGTGTGCCACAGATGGCACACATGCTACAGGTGGCACGCAGAGCCCTCTTGGGGCATGCGCACCATCACCCCAGTCCTAGTCCTTCAGCTGGGTTTTATAAAACCTTTTCGCTTTAGGCCTCTGCCGCTGTGTGCAAAAAAAAAAAAAAAAGGTTCAATCAATCACTCAATTTCAACTTCTTGTGAAAAAAAAAGATCTCGCAAAGTTGGAATTGATTGATTGAACTTTTTAGTCCCACCCAGTCTGCCATTACCACGGCAGCCACGCTCTCCTAATGGGCCACACCCACCCAATGGGCCATGCCCACCCGGCACCCAACAATACATAAGTGGGTTTTGGGTTGCAGTTTGGGCACTTGGTCTCTAAAAGGTTCGCCATCACTGCTATACAACATAAAATTTAAAATATAAGATTAAAATATGTAGATGTTAAACCAATCTTGCTCACAAACTAGCAACATTAATTGTGTTCTGTCATGCTGCCATGGGGTCTTCAAATGTACACTGATCAGGACACAAGGGACAGATATAAATATGTGCTGTTGTTTGCATGTTACCATAATCACAAATGGCAGAAGTCACCAGATAGCTTCATTTGTTTAGAGTGTCTCTGGATCTGTTGTTTCTGTGCACAATCTATTCAATGATTTCCATATTTTCCAGTTTTTGCCAGACCCAGATACCAACTTTTCCATTGGTTTTGTGAGAGGACAGCACCCCCCAAGAAAGAAATATTTGGGGAATGTTAAATAAGCAGAATATTATATTTCCCCAAAGGATCTGAAAGGCAGAAAAGCAGGCCCAGTTTTTCTTAATAGCCCCAAGCAGAAGCTAGGCAGAGGCCAGGTCTGTAGAAATGCAGATTTGATAATCCTATTCAGAAAGGTTGGAGTCAGGAAGCTTGGAGCTGATGAGATTAGAAAGACAAAGACCCCTAAAATTTACATCCCCCACCCAAACTCTAAAAACATGACCTTTAGGACATAATAGGATTAACCCACCACCATCAGAATACCAAAAGGACATGCTCAAAAGCTCAAGTCAAAGTTCATGCCATAGGAACAGGAAACAATTCCAAATACAAAAGCTCAAGAAGGTATAAAAACCCACCACTCTCAGCTACATGTGGTCAACTTTCCCAGAGCCACATTTCTGTTTGGCTCTGTTCTTCAATAAACTACAATCTTCTTTCTAAAGCAGTCTTCATTTTGTTTATTCCCGGCTTGGACTGGACCCCATTGAAGATTTTTCTTTCAACAGTTTCATCCAGCATTGGTTCTTTGTTGCTTTCCATAGGTCCATTCTGCTTTCAATTTTTTCAAAGTATTCTGTCGATCTAAGAAACTTTTTCCTGGATTTTAATCTCTGATGAGCTGGTGGTAGGCCATAGAGCAGGAATGTCAAACTCACGACATCATGAGATGTCGCGTGATGTATCGTGAATTTTCCCCATTGCCGGCAATGGGTGCAGTTTCGGTATGACACATCTGCCGGCAATGGAGTGGGTGCAGTTTCAGCATGACACATCTGGCCTGTGAGCCGGCAGTTTGACATGCCTGCCATAGAGAGATTACCTAGATATAGATGATCTAAGTTTGTCTCTATATGCTTCTTCTTCTTTGCAAATAGCAGATGGGGCAATGTTGGCTAGGTGGTAGATGTTACTAGTGAGATAGCTTTAAAGCATCCAGTAATAATTCTGCTAGCTTCATTTAGAACATCTATTTTCCCAGCATGTATGCTGATTTATCTCTGACTGGGCAGGCATATTCGCCCAGTCAATGAGTCAAAGCTGCTGTTTTAAGGACCTTTATTTTGTACCCCAGGTCAAACCCCAGGGAGAGCTCATTAATTTCCTGAGGATGTTGTTTCATCCACTGACCTTCAGTTTAATGTTGGTACAGCATTTCTTATATGTTAGGGTCCTATCTAGAGTGACCCCTAAATATTTAGGGCTGTAGCAATATTCTAATAATGTCCCTGTCCTGCTTATTGTGAAAATGAAAGGCACGTATCTGAGTTTTTGCTGGATTTGGTCTTAACTGGTTATTATAATAATATTGATGCAGCTGTACCTGGGCTTCAATTAAATGTTGTTCCATCTCCTCAAATGTTTCTTAAATGCAGACAGGCCCTTGATGTTTACTGAAATTATACTAATCTGTGGACCAGAAAAGCTGCTTTGTGGGATACACATATTGTCACAGCTAGAAATGAGCACCTCACTATGCTTTGCGTACTACTAGATTGAATGGATTTTCTTTTCTTTTTTCTTTTTTGTAAGTGTGCCATCCTAAGATTCTGAATTAAATACAAACAAGGCTTTCTTCTAAAATACTTTTTTGGTTGTTATCCAAGAAGGTTTTTTTTAAGCCATGAGTAAGCAGAGATGGCAAAACTGTTTTGATTAAAAAGAAGAATTTAGATAGTTTTTTTTTCCATTTGGAAACCACTTTTGTACTTTTTGCATCATACTGAAAAAAAGGAAACTTTGATTCTAGGTGTTGACGATTAGAATGATTTTGTTATTTTAGAAATAGCTTGAAATATTATGAAGTGTAAAGGAAAAGGTTGAGAGTGTATTTTTCTGTGCTTTTTTTGCATTTTATGGTACTGAAAAAAGTTGGAAGTTACAAACTTTTTTCTTTTAGCACTTCTTCCTTCTTTTCTCTTAATTCTCTAACTTTTGTTTTTTGTATTATATTTTTTTATTGAAACTTAATAAAAATATTATGGCAACCAATTTTAACTTTCTTTTTAAGAAAAGATAAAACACCACCACAGAACATGCTCAATCTGACAAGGCTCCTTTAATGTACTTTTACATATATCAGATAAGGCCTTACAGAGTTACACTCTTTAGAAATTTACAAACCATTCCCCTAAAAGAGACATATTTTTAAATTATTCTTGTGTACTGAAGTAGGCATGATTATTATAGCATAATAGAACAAACATTTTATAGAAGACATGCCCAGAACTGGAGGAATCCAAGATATCTAATATTCTTAAATCTAGTTGTATGAAGAGGCCACATTCTGATAGATAAAAAGGCATAAATTTTGCACAATGTGAATTTATTCCCTTAAAGAAAAGAACTAATCAGATCTTTTATTGAAGAATGCTGAAAACATGGGGTTTGAGATAAGTTTTTCCTTTTTTAAAAAAATCTGTGAGATCTTGAGTTAATTTTTTTTTAATTCTTTATCAGCTCTTCATGGCAGTATCATTGAAAAACCAACTGAATCTCAAACATTTCTGGAAAATTAAGCTAATGTGTTAAATGTGTTCATTATTCTATGTTCATCAGAGTTAAGAGACTCCATGCACAATTGATCCAAATCTACTTCAACATATGTATCATCTGATTAATATACAGTCCATGTTATAGCTAGTAGATGACAGAATTCTAAAAATCCCACCATTGTTCTGAAAATACTGGACAAAAGAGAAAATCAAAAGGCTAAAAGAGGGCAAGTAAAAAGGCTACTGAAATGGAAAACTTTTGCTGCCTGAAAACTCATTCAGAAAAATACTTATTTCAAGTATAGACTACTGCTCATTTTAACTCAACCCCAGTAAATTCTTATCTAACAAGAGTTCTATGCAAATAGTGATGCTAAGCAAAGATTAAAAGCACCTTAGCCTCACAAAATTCCAGTTCATTATGAAAAGGAACTATAGAATGAATGTGTAGAATGAATGCCTGAGAAAGCTTCTATAATGAATCTACTACACCTGAATCCTGGATTGTGACACTACCTCTGCACTAGACATAAGGTTATCTTATTTCTGGATTCCTCAGAAAGGTAGTCTGAGGGGCAGGCATTAACTTAAAAAGGAAAAGACTGAGTTTAAAGAAAAATTCAGAACATGCAAATTGCTGGTGCATGAGCAAGCTTGCCTTCTCAAAGAAAATATTTCCCATGTAGCCTAGAATTGATGGTCTGGTCTGCAGCTATTTTGTACTTCTAAATAACTATGATTAGTCAATGTGCAAAATAAAAAGCTAGAACAGAACAATGCAAAGGACACTTATAAACATTTCCATAAAAATATCTATACATTTAGCAATAAAATGGAAGCCAGCATATTTGCAGTCTTCCTTCTCTACCAACACTTTGTCCTAATTATTTTCATTACCAAAAAACTAATAAAAGTTTCTGTGTATTTTTGAATGAAATGAAGTGGTTTAGCATGCATTATCATCTTTCCTGGAAGGATTTATTTTGCATAAAATATTCAGCAGGAGTTGACCATTTTTCACTAAGTTTTACACCTGAAGAAACTCAACATCTAAAACTTTTTTCCCCTTTCTCAATAAATGAAATTCCAGTTTAGTCTAATAGTTGAAGCTACAGTCTAGAAACAGGGAGATTGTGAGTTCTTGTCCTGCTTTAGGCATGAAAGATGGTTGAGTGATCTTGTGCCAATTACTCTCTCTCAGCCCAGCCCACCTCAAAGGGTTGTTGTGGAGGAGAAAATTGGAGGAGGAAGTAATATTAAATATGCTTTTTACAAAAATAATAAATAAAACAAATCCCCATTTTATGATCACATTCCATCTACAATTTGTGAGAGTTTAGAACAGGGTGTCTAGGGATTATCTTATTTGGTGCTTCAACAGTCTGGGTTATTTTTGTAGTGACCTACCCATTGTCACCTAGTGTTGTTCTTCATTCAGCTGTCCAAAGTCCTCCCATTCTGTCCACAGAACTACTTTTAGTTTGTTTTTGACAATAAATGACATACTAAGCATGTTAATCTTGAACTTTCAGATGAACAGATAGTGTCTGACTATATTGATCTTCTGCTCAGGAGGTGAAGGCAAAGTGGGTTCTGAGATTTAGCATCAGGCACTCATGATACATGCATTCCACTTGATATAAAAAGATCAATGGCCCTAAAATCCCATTTACCAGAACATCCTAACTTTGCCAAATTAGGACATGATGTTAATATAGTACAGTGCATTTTCTCCCATTTCCATAGTCATTTTAAAGAAATGATTGATTATATAAAATCAACACTGTAAAAATACCCGATTCCTGATCTTACCAAGTTTTACAGAGAAAAAATCATTGTCTATGTGATTATCACTCTTAGTGCCTTCCCCCCCCCCTTTTTCTTTTAGGCTTAATTGCCTATTTTTTTCCTATTTTCCTTTTCTTCAAAGAGGAGGTAGAGGTGTTATCACTGATTTAAAAGGCATTATTTCCCTTAAGAAACTCAGAGGTTTGTGATGGTATAAAAGAATGGTCACTTAGGAATCCTTCCTTTCCCCCTGCCCAAAATCTAAAATATTCACAAAATGTTACATGCATAATTACTAGCACAGATGGAAGTTTAGGAATAATTACTATACTTTAAACAGAATTATAATGTGCACTGCTCTGTTGTATTTGTTTCAGTTGCCCCTGTTACATTTATTTCCTATTTATCAGCTTGGGAGATTTTATAGTAGGTGATTTCATTTTTCTAATTGTTTCCTCCTAATCTCTAATGCAGAATTAGTTTCCCAGCAATATTTGTAATGGAGCCAGTGCCATAAAACAGTTTATAATAAAAAGTAAATAAAAAGTAAAAAGGAGAAGACTGACTAGGTTAAGGCTGGGACAGTTCATACTTTTTTAAAGACATAATCTACAGAAAGCATTTATTGCCATAACTTAAATAACTCCCACAGTGCTACGGACATGCATCTTAATTCATTGTTTGACTCCATCTTTTTCTGTTCCTGTTCCACTGAAGTCAGTAGTCCAGCCATGTGTCTTCAGTAGATGTGCTAATAGATATCACTATGGCCATTCCTGGCTTTTACCAGGTTTTCATAGGTGATATATGGATGTTACCAAGTATATTTTGCAATCACAAATAGAAATCTTCCTCTCACTTTGTAATGTTTGTATAAATTTTTAAAAATGTGCATAAAATGGATTAATGTGAATCACATTCCAGTTTAGTAATGCTTGGGACATAGATAGATGTGATCTTTCAAATATGTGAAGCAGGCACACACATGTATAATTTAGCTATAAAATTATAGCTGTCCTTTTTGATATTCAGGATTAAAATGAGGGATAGAAAAGCCATAAAAGCTAGGTCAGTTCCTGTTCTCAGCTTTATAGAAATGGAGCAATTTGTTTCAATCTACTCATTCTCTATTCTCTGTGCCTACTTGAACAAAATAAAACAAAACAAAATTAGTCACCTAAATGTGTTATAACTATGTCAGAAGCAGTTGAAATTTCTAAAGATAAGTAAACAAGTATGTGCAGAAGACATATGTGTGTCTTAACTGATCACATAAGTGGGCTGTACCATATCTTATTGTTAAAGGAGGCAATGTGTCAGTGAGTAGTAAGAATATCAGTGGTTGATAATTCTCTGTAACTACCAGATCATCATATGCTAGTGGTGGCAAACCTATGGCACACGTGCCAGAGGCGGTACTCAGAGCCTCTCTGTGGGCACGCATGCTGTTGCTCCAGCCCCACCTCCCCCTGCAGCCCCCTCCTCACCAGTATCCTCCCTGAAGGAGAGTTGCTCCCCAGTGTGGATGATGTGGAGCAGCACAACCAAGCAAATGGCAGCCAGGCAGCGGGTGCAAGACTCCACTCTCATGCCCTGTCACGCACAGATGATGCGTGGAGTGTGGAGGGCGTAGCCACCATGGCGCTGCTGGGCCACCTGGGCGATCTGCTGCGAGCCGTGGAAGTGGTGAGTGGCCCTGTGGGTGGGCGGGGTGGGGGGTGGGGCAGTTTTTGGGCACTCAGTCTCTAAAAGGTTTGCCATCACTGCCATATGCTGTGGCAAGACATAGCAGCTCAAGTGCCATCCCTCATAGACATCATTAGAACCTCTCCCACCCAGTGTTATACTGAAATATGGTACCAATAGCTGTGGTTGTTTTTTGTCCTAAACCCAAAGTTACTCAGTGAACTTCAAGACATAGCAGTACATTTTAGATTTTTCAGTGCCATCTATTCTTGATGTTCATCAAAAAGGCATTTTAATAACTTAGTAATGCAACAGTCAATTTATAATAGCTATAATAGCTATTTGTGGACAATTTTTACCTCAGAGCTAAAAGCTCTGTGAAAATATCATATATTGTGAATAAGGGAAAAATTGATCATGCTAATGTTATCTGTAAATTTTGGTAGTACAGATGGTTGGATCTAACTAGATAATTTGGACATTTGCTTGTTTAGTAGGGAACTAAACATGTAACTTATTAGACTAAATCACAGAAAGGAAAAGATGGCCACATCACCACAACAATAATTCTCCTTTTACTGTGCTATAACATACTAAAACTGACTAAATAAGAATTTAGAAATAGTAAATATGCTAAATGTGGAATTTAGCATGTTTATTTTAGCTCACGTATGTGAATGTTTGCTGCTGAACTACAATTCCGATAAGCTGACTTTTGTTAATTTTGTTACAGCTGCTGAAAATTGCTTTTGAGATGTTGCTATTCCTCCATAAAGGGTTCTAGGCAAACTGATCTCCATCTGGTGTACTCACTATGCAGTTGTGACTATATAATTATATAGGAGCCAGTTTGGTTTAGTGCAGAGGTAGGCACGTTGGCTCTTTTATGACTCGTGGACTTCAAATCCCAGAATTCCTGAGCCAGCATGGCTGGCTCAGAAATTCTGGGAGTTGAAGTCCGTGAGTCATAAAAGAGCCAAGGTTGCCTACCCCTGGTTTAGTGGTTAAGGCAGGCATGTCAAACTGTCAGCCGGCGGGCCAGATGCGTAACGACAAAACCGCACCCATCCCATTGCTGACAATGTGGAAAAAGTCATGATACATCATGTGATGTCATGTGATGTCGTGAGTTTGATATGCCTGGGTTAAGGCATCAGGCTAGAAAGCAAGAGACTGTGACTTCAAGTCCTGCCTTAACTATGAAAACCAATTGAGCGAACTTGGACCAATTACTCTCTTTCAGATCAAATCACCTCGTAGGATTATTGTTGTGGTTGGCAAAATAGAAGGAGGAAGATGTGGATTCTAAAAGGAATAAAAGGCAGGATATAAACAAACAAATAAATAAATAAATAATAAAAATATCATCATTGCTATTATCATCACCATTACTGTGGCTTTATATGTGAATGTGTTTTGTATTGTTTAGGTGACATTATGGTCAGATAATTATTACAACAGACTGCAATTATTTCACTAGTCTTTTTTTGTTGAAGGAGAATATTATAAAGAATTAATGTAACAAAACAATAAACCCTCACATATGATAAAGACTTTTAAAAGTCTCAAAAATATAGAAAAGAAATATTAGAAAAGTCATTAACATTATATATCTATCAAATTGTAAGTGTTTACATAAAACATATTTGTTGATTGTTCTCTTCACATCCATTTTTAACATGGTAGTCTATGCTTTGTGAGAGCCATGCTGGTTAGCGGAATGCTAAAACAATAAAGGGAGCTGGCATAATGGCTGCTATTCTCACAAAGGCACTGATGGCTTTCTAAAACTGAGGAACATCCCTCGCTCATTGGATGGAAAAAGGCAGACTGGCAGACAGATCTACAGGCATGTATAACATTTCTAACCCCTCCAATTTGCAAGAGTGTTGAAATATGGAAGTAATTTTATTCGGTCTCCTATACATTCCCCCCCCCAAAAAAACTATAGACTCAGATAAAAGAGAATAGGATTTTTTAGTATGTTGAACTACAGTTAATTTGGATTACCAATATTTCTCAAGAAGATGATATAGAAATGTTTCAAAGCTATGCATACCAAAATAGTGAGCAGATATATTACATGGATTCACAGACATATGCGTGAACCTTATCACCATTCATTTTCTTAAAATACATGATAAGCAAGAGACTATACAATTGTATTATGTTCACTGGGTGCAAAGTACAATTCTACAAAGACTGCTAGAGAAGGACTTTCTTGATCAACAATGGCATTTTTTAAAAAAGCCACCATATTGAATTAGATTCATACTAGTTTAACAGCTATGAAACTCCTCCAAGAAACCCAGGAAATTGTAGTTCAGTGAACTTGCTTTTGCAAAATTATAATTATGTATCAACAATTATGTTTTGCTGATTAAACCAATTAGAAATTGATTAACATTTGTTGTATAAAAGTAATCTCCTTTGTCATAATTTGATAATCCAAAATGGCCCAGTTTATGTTCAATTTATAAGAAAGCTCATACCAAAATATTAGATCTGGTTCAATTCTTTCACATACTGTAACTATATCTGCTAAAACATAGATGCATGTGACTTGTGAGAATTGGTTCCAGAGCTTTCTCTTTCAGGGATATGTACATTTCAATTCAGCAATGTGACTCTTATCCCTGAATAACAGATTCAACAAACCTGCCCATAAGAAAAAGTCATGCTTTGGAATATGTAATTCTGAGCTCTCTGGTGACAGGATTATTCAGTCCTTTCATTTTTGCTTTTCCACTAAAGCAGCAGTTCCAACCAGGGGTGCTTGCACCCCCTGGGGGTGTGAGACGATATTGCAGGGGGTGCAAAAACTTGAGTTTTCAAAATTATAGTCTATATGCATAATTTGTTGCAGTTATTTTGAACTTTTGTAAGGGGTGTGAAAATATATCAGAAGTGTTCTAGGGGTGCGGGGTATAGAAAAGGTTGGGAACCACTGTACTAAAGGGAAAATTGTTTCAAAAATCTATTTCAAATCAGGATTTATGAAGATTTAAAGAACAAAAAAAGCATGTATTGTGTATTAAATTTGTTTGTTAAATAGTAATATGCCTATAATGTTGTGAATTTATGAGAATCCATTTTCAATGAACATATAAATGTGGTTCTAATTCCCTAGAATGTATTTATGTACCTACATAAATCAGTTATGTCACAAGTGGAACAAATGTCACATGGTGATCTCAGGTCAGAAGAGTTGTAACAGAGCTACAGCAAGGAAATTAATAAGGCTTTTTGTGCATTAATGTGTGCCTTTCTGACAACAAGAATGAAAATAACAGTATGTCTTCATTACTCACAATATTATTATATATACCCAAATCAGGTGGAGATTTCAAAATGCTAACAGATTGATGGCCTGTCAAAAATATGGAAATCTGGTTTTATCCCAGGCATGTCTTGAAGCCTGAGTTCTTGCTTTCTGAAGGGCCATTTATTGTAAGTAGGTTTTTAAGATAATTTCATAGTTATGGCTTCTCCCAAAGAGAATAATTCTGTGAGCTGTCCCCATAGATTGACAGCCACTGAAATATTATTTTCTATGAAATTTGTAATTCAGTAATGTTGGAGATTACTGTGGGACAAAAGCTTTCTGTGAAACGCCAATATTCTTATTCTCAGAAAATGGAGCAATGCTGTTTATTGGCACTTTGTATCTTATTTCAGATAGGAAATGAGACTAACATGTTTACATCAATAAAAAAACGATATACTTGGGATTCCTGGCTTTTTCAAACAATTACAGAGAATTCTGAGAATTTATAAAGCCATTTGAAAGTACCCTGCAATCTAATACTTTTAATGTTCAAATCAAATCAAATGACAATGTATGTTTCAATTATTATCACATCCTTTTTAGAACATGATATTAAAAGGCTAGACAAGAATGCTCCTAGCCTTCAAAAACAGAAATCTTATTGTTTAGAGAGAAATATTTGTATTCTAAAGGGATTAAAAAACACAGAAAAGTGATCCTTGTAGTGATAGGTATTTTTAAACAACTCTAAGCACAGATAGACAACAATATTTATTGGCAATGGTGAACTGCTTAAATTACTGAACTGCTTGGATTATTTTCTTGGATTGAATGTGTACAAAAAGGGCAAATCAAGATAAATCAATATTCTTTTCTGCTTGCTTGGGTTTGCAGTCTCAGTGTTTGTCTGTCATTTGCACTTTGAGTTGTGCTGATCTCCTCCTTTTTAAAATTAGATGTGCTCAAGAGTCCATTAGAGAGCTTGTTGAAAAAAATGTTCCGCAACCCCATCCCAATCCCTGCTGTTTCCTCCTCCCATCTCATTTTAGATAAGCCACTCTTTTTTGCTCTCATCAATGGTTTCTGTAAAATTGGGATCATTGTTCATAATAGCGGCATCTGCACTCTCAGCAGATTCTGCCCCCTTGGCTTCATTGGTATGGTAGGTTCCCTTGTGGCGGAACATATATCGAATGAGGAACACCAGGGTGCAGAGAATGGTGAAGATCACAACAGCAATAATACCTAAGAGAAATGTGAGAGTTTAACAAATTAAAAATAAGGGGGGAAGAAAAATTCATTCAATAATATATTGTAATTAAACATACTTGCAGTTATTTTTCAAACATTTTTGCTAAATTTGACATTGCTAAAATATTTATTTTGTCAAGCCACCTTATGAAACCATTTAGTAAGAAAAATCTCACCAATGAGATTTAATTATTTTTATTAATAAATTAATATATTTTAAGCTGCAATTAGACAAAATGTATATGATTTTGTGGTTCAGATATACTTTAATAATTTCTTTATTTCACACACTGAGAATTATGTTCATTGTGCAATATTAATATTTTGATATAACCAATCCAGTTCTTTATATGTCAGCCACCTTCCTGTAACATTAGAAAAGATGGATTATGCTGAAAACAATGACTTTAACTGCTCATGCTGTCAACTGCCCACCACCTCAGTCTGAAAATTGTCATACTGAGGCACTAGAAAGTCCACTAGCAGTTACCACAACATGAAACCAATAGGCCCAATTGTTCTGGATAGTTCTCATTCAGAATGAGGCATAATGGGAAAGGTAATAATTGCATTTCATCATTGCAACCTTTTTTTTTATTTCTCATACAAATCTCCATAGTCATCTTGCCTCATCCTGAAAGGCCTCTTGATGAATTGTAATCATAATGCCATACATTTGAAGTTGCATGCATGCACATATCTGTGTATGTAGGGGGAAAGAGAAAGAATGTGGTGATTAATGAGCTAAACTATGATCACAGAAATTAGAAAGACAAATGTCAGATGAGATAGGAATATTGTGTTTATATATCAGCACAACTTTAATTATATTTATTATTAAACTTATATTTCACCCATCAAAACCAGGGGTAAATCTACGTAGCTTACAATTATGAAAAATCAGAAGATAAAACATTAAAGCATTGAACAATAAATATTAATAGTAACACAGAGTTAAAATTGACAAGAAGGGAAGGAAGGGAACAAAATGCATATGGGGAGGAGATGGAGTCTTATCTTAGTCCATTAATCAGCTCCAGAATGACATATCCCCATTAGACCCTAGACCAGTTGGCAGAGTCCTTCAGGCCCTTTCAGAAGACCAAAAGTGTGGGTACAGATATCATCTCAGATGGCACCAGGTTCCAGAGGATGGCAGCCACAGCAGAAAACATTCTTCTTCTGAACCCCAACAGCCACAATTCTTTGACCAACTGGCTCTCCAGCATGCAGCTTTTGTGATGCAGGTAGATGGGCCAATACCATTGCGGTGAGATAATTCCTCAGAAAACCTGGACTCATACCATGAAGGGTTTTAAAGGTAAGAACCAACACATTGAATTGGACCCAGAAGTTAAATCAATGTAGTTTGTGGAACAGCGGTGTAACATTAACTACCCCAGTGTCTCTAAGAATTGTTTGTGTTACTGTATTTTGCACCAGTTATAGCTTCTGAATATTTTGGAATAGTCGAAGCAGGAGATGACCAGGCTTTGAGTGACTGAGCACAAGGATTGCTGATTCAGGAAAGTGCATAACCGGCACACAAGTAAAGTTTAATCTACTCTACCGGCTGCCTTTGTATGGGGAAATGGATACTATCAAGAAATGGGACTTAATGGAGGAACATTAAATAACCACCATACAGATGGACGAATAGGATAGAATTTCCATCCTAAATTAGATTATATTATTGTTAACCTGGAATTACAAATTGTAGATTAGACAAAAGCAAGGCAATATTTGTTATTAACATTCCTTCTGCTTGATTTAAGTATTCTATTTTTTTCTTTAATTGATTTTAGATTCTGATATTACTGTTTTGTCCCAAATTAGTTTTACATATGCCTAATGAAAACAATCTCTGGACCTGTTTGTTTGCTCTCATTCTTTGTTTAGCTTCTCTTTAAGCATGAAGATAAATTTGTTCAAAGCAATGTATGAAAAGGTAAAGGATCTGAATCTGAGACTGTATTATTGGTTGAAATTGGCTTATTGCTGAGTATACTTTGCAGAAACATTCTAACTTGAGACAAGCTAGCAAAAATCAGTCATGAGGTTTATCCATATGGACACTACATTCTTTTGGCAAATGAGGTTAAATATTCTGTTATATTTTTACTTAGTAATCAAAATGAATTCATTATGTTATTTAATTTTTTACCTCTCAGTTTAATCACAAATAATTGTTCATCAGCACCTTATATACAGAAAGTCTCCCTAGCATGGTGACTGATAGTGGCTTAGTAAATTCGTTAAGTGAATTTACATAGTTCCTAATTCTAACCCAGCATCTTAATTATTAGATTATACTTGAATATTATGAAAAGAATGTTCACATATTATGATCACTCAAAGAAGTTATAAAATTTTCCAAAATAATTTGATCAACCTTAGGTAACTATGTACTCATACTGAAACTTATATTAAACTAACTGAATATACTTATTATCAGTTCATATATATATAATATATATATATATACTGCTTCCTTACCTCCAATAATTGCTGAATTTCTGTTAACACCACTTCCTATTACTTGACCATTATAAGGAAGTTCAGCACCTGATGTAAAGTGAAGCATAACATTTAGGTTCTATTATTTTCAAAGTTTGTATCAATCTAGACCAAAACTAAAATTAAGATAACCTTGAATATTAATACTGTAATACTCAATATTAGAAGCATAAAAGAAATAGAAATATGAAATAACAAAGTTTCTAGTATGGCATTAGATGCCAGAAGGCCAGAATGAACTCAGTCAATCCATAGGAAATTCCCAAAGGGAGGGTCTCAATTTTGCAATAAACTTACTGGGCAGTAGAATGTCCTTACTTCCATGTGGACTGCCAGTCATTCCAAGTCACTACAGGTTTTAAGGAAGACCATAGGTTAATAGCAAGCTCAATGACAGACACTAGTAACTAAAGGTATATAGATAAGAGAACATTGAATTATAGATGAGTTGGAAAATGCATACTTCCGTTCAGGATTTTTGTTCATAGAACACACCGGAACAGAGTTCCGGCACCTTTTTTTGATGGATTTTCCAGAGTTGCGATCTTTTCCTATTGTTGCCCTTCCTATCCTTGTTTGTTTTTGAAAATGCCCTGCTGGTGGTACAGTTTGAGCGGGGTCCCGTCTGGTGCTGTCTGCCTCCTCTAGGAGGAACCATGAGGCACCAGAGCTCCAGAGCCAGAGTGTGGCTTGATTGGCTGGGTCGGATGATGTGTTGTGGAAGCTGATGGTGGCGGTGGGAGATACATAAACATGGAGGCCATCTTTCACGAGAGGGTGAGTGAACCTTTTGCTTTCCCTTACAGAAGATGGGGTGTGAGATTAAAAAGAGGTGAAGTGAGAAGAAAGAAAGGTGGCTGGTGTGGAAGCTTGACCAACAGCGAAACTTTGCTGCTTCAGTTCCTTGGGTAGTTCAAAGGCTGGGATGTCTTCAAAAATCTCTTTTTAGTCTTTTATACTTTAAATTCAAACTGCAGAGTTTGAATATAATAAGAATAAAGAATAAGAATAAAGCCAATGTCTTGTGATTTGGAGGTATTATTAATAATAAAATATATTAATTATGTATTGGTCAGATGTAAAGATAGACCTACAGTATGAGGTTTAATCAGATCTATTTATTAAATTGGGTTTAACTTAAAGATAAATTAAAAGTAATCTGTTCACTGACAAAGTTTCAACTTTAATTTGTTTCAAGTCAATATCTGTATTAAACTCCAAATGTAAATTTTTCCACCTTGTTTGACAACTTCTTAAAAATAATTCAATCTTTTGCAAGCAACTAAATTTTATTTATTGGGCCAATTTCATTCCACATAGAAAACTAACGTTTCCACTCATTAAACTAAATGGGTATGCTAGTGATAAATGTCACAAAAGATTAATAAAATGCCTTCTTGTAATTTAAAGCCACACAGTGCATGGTAACATTAATAGTATTAACTTACCTTGAACAAAATCCTAGTCGTTTAGATACACTAAAAATTGAAGGGGTTGTTTTTCAACTACAAAGGTAAACCTTGTAGGATAGGCAAGGTGAGTTATATGACGTGTATGAGTCCTGGCACCTTTTCTTTTTTTTTTTTTTAACAAAAAAAGCACTGCTTCCATTGCTTAATGCTAGAGTTACTTTCCTTAAAAAATCTGCATAAAGCAAATTTGTATGAAGCATAACCTTGAGCCAATAGAAAAAAAAAATGATCAGATTTGGTTTCAATAACTGTAACTCAAATATATTGACAAATGTACTCATTTATATTTAGAGCTTTATTCTTACACTCTATAGTACTTAAACATTTCCTTCTTTGTTTGGTGTTCTATGTACATTACACTTATCCCATCCTTTGTATAGTTAGATTTCTAATGTATATATTTATCATGTGAGACAGAATGCAGAATGCCTCTTACATTTTTACCAGAATTCTTTAGTAGAATACTATGAATTTTATTAGCATTCTTCATTATATTGCACATAACTTAAAACTGGTTGTTGGACTGAGGGTTCTTTTTTTTAAAAAATATATATATATTATTGGGTTTTTTTCATATCACCATTAATATTTGGTAAACAGTCTGTTGTCTAGGTTTATATTTTCAAATAATCAATAACATTTAATTTTTATGGTTCCATATTCCACATAGTATTTTTCCTTGATTTTCTCTTCTTCCAATAATATTCTCTTTTATCAACCTTAAATTAGAACATTTCTTGGTAATTCTTTTTTAAAAACAAAATTAAATGTCTACAAATATCCTCCACTTCATTATTAAGCTTCTTTTCTAATTAATAATCTAGATCACCTTGTCATAGATCCTGTTTTAGAGTTCTCATTTAAATTTATTTTCCTCACAATATTCAAAAGAAAGCATTTTTACTTGTTAAAACTTTTTTAGAGTTAATTACACTTATATATTGAAATTTTTTTCCTCATATGAACCACCCCAACACTTACATTTTTCATATCTTGAAATAAAAAGAAAGGACAGAAATAATATACTATCTTAAAAAAAAACTCATATCTCTCTTAAACTAAAATACCTTAATAATCAATGTTTCATTTTTAAAAACATGTTCAAATCTTCAAAATCCATTATATTTAAATATTTAATACATTTCCCTCATAAATCTTCTGACACATTTTTATATTTCACATATCATAGGCAAAAATACTGTATTGCTTAAGAATCCTATCCCTCCTAAGCTGAGATTCATTTGTATTCAAAATGTTATTTCTTTAACCATATTAAAACAAGTGTTTAATTTTTAAATATTCCATCAAACGAATCCCATCATCTAATTTCTTAATTCTGACTTTAGCCCCCCCCTTTTTTTGCCAAACATTTTTCCTAGTCAGTATGTTCCATTGAACACACTGGTTTTGTAGATGTTGTTGTCAGTACAAAAGCTAAGTCAGTTAAAGTGTTTTTGTAAAATATTCCTCAGAAATCTTTTTTCTTTTTTTCTTTCTTAGTTTCTCCCATCACCTTTTTTCTCTCAAATTCTTGAATTCTTGATGTATAGGTTGTTTTTTCCATGTCCAGTATTTCCTGGAAGTTTATAATAATAATAATAATAATAATAATAATTGTTGTGTCCTGAGCCTACAAAGGCAGGCTCGGGACGTTGCAATGGTCCCAGGCAGTTGCAAGCTGCCCGGGACCAGACTGGCTGGCGCCAGTGCCCGCGCACATGTGCGAGGCACGCTGCACGCCTAAATGTTGCTTTTTGGCCCGGGGATTGTCTTTAAGAGAGGCTGAGAGGTTTGTTCTGCTCAGAGTTGTAACAGGGGCTACTGAAGAGCAATAAAGAGTTCCTGAAACCACAGAATGTCTCGCGCCGTCATTGCCATTCACCGAGGACTCAATACTGGCGACGAAGGTGGATGGCCTTACAATTACACAAAGAATTGTAAGCTTACCTGGAGTCCTGAGACAGCGAGGAAACGGCGTTAAATTCAGCAACTGCCTGCCAATACAGCTTTATTGGAGGTAAGCTGGCTGATAGACCCTTCCTGTTTTACTGAAGATGGCAAAGATAGGGAAACTTTCTGAGTTTGATGTTACACATCCAGATAGATGGGAGTCTTATGTGGCCCGAGCAGAAAATTATTTCAGAGTTAATCAAGTAAGAGAAGATGGCTTAAAGGCCACCACCCTACTGTGTGTTTGTGGTCAAGATGCATTTGAAATCGCTGAAAATTTAGTAGCCCCTGCACCTCTTGAATCTGTTACCTACACAGATTTAAAGAAATTATTAAAAGAGCATTTTCAACCCAAGTTATCTGTTATTGCTTGGAGACATACTTTTGTACAGAGGGATCAATGGGCTGGCGAATCAGCTAAAGAATACATTGCTGCATTAAGAAGAGCAGCTAAGCATCGTGAGTTTAAAGACTTAGAGGAAAGGCTGAGAGACAGATTTGTATGTGGACTGAGAAACAGAGATGTGCAGCAAAGACTTTTCGCTGAAGAGGACATATCGTTCCAAGATGCCTTGAGAGAGGTTACTGCAGAAGAGGCAGCAAGTGGGGCAATCAAGAATATGAGGCCTATCAGAAGTACTCCAGAAGCTGTTTCCGTGCACCACGAGGGAGTCCAAGGAAGCTCGGAAGAGGAACCTGATGAAGAAGTAGATCATCTCTACCCATCCAAAGAAAGGAAGCAGAGGGAAGGCAAAGAAAGGTCTTCACCTGTACCCAAGTGCTTCGGGTGTGGAGGTCGCCACAAGAGGACCGACTGCAAGTTCCGTTCTGCAATCTGTAGAGCATGTGGGAAGCAAGGCCACATAGCAGCTGTGTGTCTGGGCCGTCAGAGGGTACAACCCCGAGAAGAATTGCGCCTGAAAGGTACCAGGGTCCCCGGCCAAAACAGGATGGGTTTCTGTGCTTCACGAAGAAGCATTTATAGGACAGGCACACACAAGCCACTTAAAAAGAAATTGTCACTTAAGGTGAAGTTGCAAGGGATTCCATTGGTCATGGAACTAGACACTGGGTCTGCAGTTTCAATCATTTCCATTCACACATTCAGAAAGATTTGTTCTGGTTGTGGTTTTCAGGCCAAGCTTAGGCCTTCTAATATAGTGCTAACAGACTTCCAAAACTCCAAGTGTGTGTTAAGGGGGAGGCCACCCTTAACGTGCAGTATAAGGATTTTGAAGGTCCATTAGATGTATTGATAATGGGGGGTGAGCGCACGAGTCTCATAGGACTCGATTGGTTTGAGGCCTTGGGAATACAAGTTACAGGGCTCAATAGCATGCAAACAGTAGATTTACAGGAAGTCTGCAAAGAATTTGCGGATGTTTTCAGCCCACAGCTGGGCACATACAAAGGGCCCCCAGTCTCTTTGAAGTTGGACCCCACTGTCACTCCTATCAGAGTAAAAGCAAGAAGGGTGCCTTTTGCTTTAAAAGGGAAAATTGATGCTGAATTGGACAAATTAATTCAGCAAGGAATCTTAGAACCTGTTGACTCCAGTCCTTGGGAAACTCCCATAGTTACGCCTCTTAAGGCTAATGGGGACATTCGCATCTGTGCAGATTACAA